ATGGAGTGCTCATACATGTACATGTATTGGAATGTGATATGGTTTAGTGGAAAGTGGGGGAGAGAGAGGAAATAAAAATATCATAAATTGATCGATATTATTATTATTATTATTATATTACTGTTGCTGTATTAGTGGTGGTTGCATTTAGAAATCACAGGAAGTACATGTAACTTGTTGATATTTATAAAGTTTATATTATAAATTAGACATTACTTCATAAGAGGAGGTGAAACAAACAAAATGGAAAAGTACAACAAAAGTACAGTATAGTCTCTCTTAATGGACACTCTCTATAGCGTACACCTCCATTTAACGGACAGCACCTAGTGTACCAATTACATTCCTTACTGTATAAAATAACCTCCACATAAAGGACACCTCGGTATAACAGAGACACTTTCTTGACCCAAAGTGTCCATTATATAGAGGCTAGTCTGTAGCATTATACTACTTATGTATGGTCATGTACATGTACATGTGTGTGTGTGGAGTAGACTGATGTGTAGATTATTAGTTTGTTATTATATTGTTTTATGTTATTAGATTAACTTATTGTTTTTAGAGAGGATCAATCCCACACTCCAGACACTAGTAATTATATAAACCGTGACAACATGTACACACACAATAATACTATGTACATATATATACATGTATGTCTGGAAAATCACACTCTACACTGCATTCTATACACACACTACACTACTACTAATATGTGTATCTAAGCACTAGCTGATATGCTAATAGGATCAGAGGAGGAGTGTTTGTATCTTTAATTGTCAGTTTGTGTGTTTACATGTAGAGATACTGCACTGCTATTCCTCCCTCTGTCTATAACTCTTCTTCATATTTGTACATGTACATGTATATTGTATGGCGGACATAATTATGTTTCTTTAATTCATTCACACTTCTTCTCGTGGGATGAATATTAGTCAAGCAAATAAGACATTCTTTAATATGCCACCTGTACAAATGGTAGCTTGGAATGGAAGCAACACTGTGTGATATTTTAAAGAATAAGAATTTGTCCTGACAATATACCTGTAGTTGTATCTAAAAAAACATCTGTCTTTCCACAGTAGCTTATAATTATAGAATATTTTGTTGATTGTTTATAGGTTTAGTTCAAATGATCTTGATTGTGCATTCAATTTCAGGTGTGGCCGTAATTAAATCAATATTAAAAGGAATGAACATGAACATATTGGATTAGACACTTTTTGTATTGGTGGAATTTTATTGTGTAATGTTATATAATAATGATGACATCAGAATTGATATTTGATATACATGTACTTTATTCACATGTACATGTAATTGTTTTTTACTACCTGTCCTTAATACATGTACAGTGTAGCCTCTTTATTAAGGACACCATTGGGCCCACACTACCTGTCCTTAATACATGTACAGTGTAGCCTCTTTATTAAGGACACCATTGGGCCCACACTACCTGTCCTTAATACATGTACAGTGTAGCCTCTTTATTAGGGACACCATTGGGCCCACACTACCTGTCCTTAATACATGTATAGTGTAGTCTCTTTATTAAGGATACCATTGGGCCCACACCACCTGTCCTTAATACAAAGGTGTCCTCATTTCAGAGGTACTTTTGTATAGGCTTGTACCAATTGGGACATTACAAAATGTCCTCATTGTAAAGGTGTCCTCATTATAAAGGTGTCCTCATTATAAAGGTGTAAATTTGTTACATTTTTCAATTCATTTTAACATTATTCCTCCATTCAGTTTTCCTATGAATCATTCCTAACACGAGTCATTAATTGGAATATCTTCACACTAGCTTATGTACATGTACATTAATTATCACCTCCTCTCCTCTTCACAATACTGCATATACACTGTGACATCTCTTGACAATTGATCATTCTGATGAAAAAATTTTACTCATTAAACCGTGTAGTACATGAATGTAAGTATATGTACATACATGTGTATGTACTTATGTTGTACATATATTCATTGTTAAGTGTGTGTGTGTGTGTGTGTGTGTGTGTGTGTGATCCTTATGTAAGAGGGTACACTGTGTTCATGTACACATGTGTGTATACATTGTATGTTTATGTTCATAAGTATATGTACATGCATGTGTATGTTATAGAATATTAAGTGTGTGTGTGTGTGTGTGATCCTTATGTAATAGGGTACACTATATGTTCATGTACATAGTGTGTGTTTAGTCTGTGTACATGGTATGTGTCCTTTATGGTGTGTCTAAGTGATTCTGTGGTTATCTTGTAATATGATATTAATTGCTGTATCTTTGTGGTCTACATACAGTATGTACTCCACTCCATTTTGTGGACTGTAGTGTACGTGTCATTTTTATTCCTCCTACTACTCTCCATCCATCCCTCTCTCTCTTTCTCTTTCACACCTACTCTACCAAACCCTCATTCTTTTTCTCTCCCTCCCTCACTTTCTCTCTCCCTCTCTCCCTCTCTGATGTCCTTTATACATGGAGCATTTTAGTACACATTTGTCCGTCCTTTGGTTTAAGTTTTTAATTCTCTCTCTGTCTCCCTCCCTCTCTCTCTCTCTCTGTCTCTCTCTCTCTCTGTCTCTCTCCTCCTCCATTAGTGGTTAAATCCTTCCAGTCTTACGTTGATCCAGAAGTTCAAGGTTCCTCTAGTCTCAAAGACGATGAAGACGTTTCTCTTCCTCTTGAAGAACACACCCTGTCCTGTAACCTGGGGATACAACTGGTGGTTGTCTGTGCTAAGGTACATGCACAATACATTCACAATTTCACATACAGTACATGTACATATATATCTATTTTTTATACACATTTTTTCTGTTTCTTATTCTAGTCGGATTGTTTTGTTCAGTTGGAGAAGAATGAGAAGTATCAGGATGAACACTTTGACTTCCTTCAGCAGCACATCAGGAAATTCTGTTTAAACTGTAAGAGAGAGAGAAAGAGAGAGAGCCAATCACAACTTTAAATACTAGTCTACAGTGTATGAGAGAAAAAGTATGTGCAATGTACATACATATTCATGAATAGAAGCATCTTCCTAATAGAAGCCTGTCTGGATCAATCCTAAGCCCTGGGGCTATAGTACAATGAAAAGCATCTGATAAGAGCCCATGTGTATACCCTGAACTACTGAATCAGTATTATCCACTCTTGGTATTATGTGTGATCATAATTTGTATGTACATTTGAATATCCTCCTACTTGCTACTGATATAGCCAAAGAGATACATTTATAACGTACACACACATCAGGCCCTGGTATATATATAATATTCAGAGATGAATCATGAATTCTTTAAAAGAATAAAGAGAGAGAGAGAGGGAGTGTGTGTTAAAGGTTGTTAGTATAGTATAGGGAGAGGTCGGTGATTACATACCAGCTCAATCTAGTATCTAATAATTCAGTTTATTGATCTACAAGTAATCTCCACTGACACCTCTACTCCTACAGTGGGGCTATTAATACTATGAATATCATTATAACTTTTATTAATTAAGAGAGAAAGAGAGTGGCCATGCATAGGATTTTGTTTGGTTTTTGTAATTTTAAAAATTCGTAAAAAATTCAGTTTTGATCGGAATCAGCTCAAACTTTCTACGCAATATAAGTACATATATATGCATCAGGAAATGTAATAAAAATGGAGAATTCTCACCTTTTTATTTTTGGCGAATTTTCGCTAATGACCCTGTACTATAGTACAGGGACTTTGACCCGATTTTAGAGCAACTTTAAAAATTTGTAAAAAAATCCAATTTTGATCAAAATTAGCTCAAACTTTTTACACAACATAAGAACATGTATATGCATCAAAAAACTGATAAAATACAGAATTCCTCTCTCAGAGATTTTTCATAAATCCATGGGCTATAGTACAAGCTTTAAAATTAAAAATTCAATTTTATGAGAGAGAGTAAGAGAGAGTGTGAGGGAGTGAGAGCAGCAATTAAAATCAATTTAAAATCTATGCATCAACATGTTTATAATTCATATAGTACAAGCATTACTATGTACATAATAATTATTATTATTTTATGTGATCTAATTCTATTGTTGTGATATTTACTATCGTGTCCTCCAGCGATAAATTATTACAATATAACTTTAATTTGTCAGCTACACTGTATGTGTGCGATCTTAATTCTTCATGCAAATATTACTTAGATTCATGTACATTTACATAAGAATCTTATTAAGCATGTACATGTACATATATGTAGATGTACATGTACATCAATTTAATGTACATATACATATGCATGTAGCTACAGTAACTGTGTAGGTTTTTTATTCATGTACATGTACATGTATGTACACATTTTCCCTGTGTGTGTGTGTGTGGTATGGTGTCATTATGATGTCATAAGTTCATATTGTGCCCTCTTCCCTCATTCATTCTGTTGTTACTGGCTGCTACTAGTGGAATTTCCTTTCCATCATTCCTTATTATAACTCCCACTTAAATCACTAGGCTACAGTATATAGCCTCTCTTAATGGACACTCTCTATAGCGTACACCTCCATTTAACGGACAGCACCTAGTGTACCAATTACATTCCTTACTGTATAAAATAACCTCCACATAAAGGACACCTCTGTATAACAGAGACATATTCTTGATCCAAAGTGTCCATTATATAGAGGCTAGTCTGTATGTAGTTCTGTATCAGTATTTCTTGTATCAGTTAAGATACACTTCCTGTGTAGTAGAGGGTAGTTGAGGAGGGAACATCTAATTTTTTTTATTTGAAATCTTGTTGTTGAGCTCGCAGCTAATGGTTCAAAATGACTCAAAAATTGATTTTCTTAAATTTTATTGATTTAATTAATAGCAATAATAATCAATGAAGCAATAATAGTGATAATAATAATAATAATAAACTGGATATGTAGATACATGTACATGTAACAATAATTTATAATTAAAGTATTAATAGTATTTATAGTATTTAACTGTTATTATTATTTTTATTAGTATTATTATTATTATTATTATTATTATTATTATTATTATTATTATTATCTTGCTTCCTCAGGAGCTTATTTGCATTTCTTGCAAGTAAGCTCCTCACCACCAGAGTTGCAGGCATAAGAAGCATTGACCTTGCCTCTACAGCACATTGTTTCAGGCTAAAAAATTATAGAATAAAAGTATTATTTGTAATATTGTATGATAAAAATTTCAGTAAGCCAGAAAAGTAGATTGAAATGAATATTTTTTTTAGAAAGATAATTTTGTGCCCACAAATGAGCCGGTTGTACATATACATGTACATACTACATTAGGAATAGAATGTATTGTTTTAGCTTACGTATGGGACTATTGACACTGGATCACTATCACACTCTGGATCAGTGAAACACAGGCATTCACTTATACCATCAGCAACATGAGCAGTAATCATGAAGGCTACAGCTGCAACAAGGACCATACGTTGGAATGAAGTCATCTTCAGTTTGATAGTAGTAGTATCTTTCTTTATCTCTTTATGATGTACTGATGATATACTGATATCCTTCAGCTACTTTTATAGATACTGGCCTAGTGAGGACAATGGTGGCTTTGTTTGAATGTGTACACGTGACAAAAACATGTACATGTGATGGAAACATGTTCATGTGTCATAGAAATTTGCCTTAGTATATGAATACAGTTACTATTAACAGTCTGTGATACTGCCAATGGAGTGAGCAGGGATGGCTCATATCTCATGCCGTGTGCCAATGTGTAGCAGGAAATGTACTAGTTACCCTTTTTCTTTTATTCGTGAAAGGCTTTTAAATTATATGTACAGTATAGTCTCTCTTAATGGACACTCTCTATAGCATACACCTCCATTTAACGGACAGCACCTAGTGTACCAATTACATTCCTTACTGTATAAAATAACCTCCACATAAAGCACACCTCTGTATAACAGAGACACTTTAAAAGTATTCACTAGGTTAGTCTGTACTATAGCCCATGCTTTTTCCAGAAAAATGGCTACAAAAAACACCTCCAATTTTTAATGCATTATTGCTCATAAAATCGCATGTACATGTTTATATTAATTGCCTCTCTCTCTCTCTCTTCCTCTTAACAGATGGTGCTGCTCTGGTCTATGTATCAACAAAAGATAATAAGAACATTGATATTCTTCACAAGTATCTGATACACAAAGCATACGGGCTCAAGTTTAAAGTACCAGCTTACACTGTGGAGAGAGATGCTGTTTTCATGTAAGTACATGTACATGTAATTGTGGTAATATTAAATGCTATAGCTTAAGTATGTAATAGTAATGGTAATTGCAATATTGTAATACCTGATGACTGAGATATCTGCTTGAGGTGAAGCTGAGGGCAGATATCAAGGGACTCAGGTATTACATTACTGATACTCACCTCCATGCAGACACAGTATAGTGTACTAATATTATATTTATGTGTTACATTTATTAGTAATACATAGATTCATCTCCTCTCTCTCTCTCCCTCTCCTAGTCCTGCAGGGTGGGACAGTAGTAAGAGAATTGCTGTACTTTGTGAACAAATAAAACACTTTAATTCAAGAGAGCCGCTCAATAATATCATAAAATCACCACCACTCACCACCACTGTAAGCTATTGTAGCAACAAATGTCCTTTTTGTCTTTCTTTCTTCAATATCTTATTCACTTGATAATACTTTGTATCTCAATTTTTCTGTTTTTAATTTTTACCATTTTGACTGTTAGTATGTACAGTGTATGTGTTGTTTTGATATTAATTTTGTCTTTTTGGTGCACGGTTGATTTGGGCCAATGGTGTACATGTACATGTACCAGTAGTGATAATTGAATTCTTAAGTTATTGAGAGTGAGTGAGTGAGAAAAGGTTACTATGAAATATAGTACACATTTGTCACTGTATGTCTACTCACCTTTTTTATTGCTCAGGATTCATGTACATTCACATGTACATGTACACATAGGTTCAGTAAGGTCAATTGGTCCTGATGGGGTACACTCTATCCCATAGACCACACACTAACACACACACTGTCATTGTGTACAGTAATTGGTTTATTAATCAGATCAGTCAGTGTCTTTCTTGTTATTGTTATCATTATAACTACCTGGCATGTCAACTTAGTTCAGTTGTAGAATTTCATACCATAACAGACATAAATACAGTGTCTCTATAATAAGGACACCTTTATAATGAGGACGTTTTGTAATATCCCAATTGGTACAAGCCTATACAAAAGTACCTCTGAAATGAGGACACTTCTGTATTAAGGACAGGTAGTGTGGGGCCAATGGTGTCCTTAATAAAGAGCCTACACTGTACATATATTAAGGACAGGTAGTGTGGGCCCAATGGTGTCCTTAATAAAGAGGCTACACTGTACATGTATTAAGGACAGGTAGTGTGGGCCCAATGGTGCCCTTAATAAAGAGGCTACACTGTACATGTATTAAGGACAGGTAGTGTGGGCCCAATGGTGTCTAATAAAGAGGCTACACTGTACATTGTTATTGTAAAGGTTAATGTATTGTGATTACTATAAAGTATAACATAATGTCATGTTTTGAACTTTACTCCTTTGCATTCCATTCATTCTTTACTGTTTAAGTTTCTTCTCAGTTTTAGCTCTTAATGATATTCACGAGCTATTAATTAGTTTTTAATGATATTCATTATGTATTGTTTTCCGTTTGATGGATCAGGTGGGAATTGAAAGCTTTGGGTTGCCTTGGAAACGAGGTGTTATTGGTATTAAGTAACTGAGAATGGGAATTACTTTTAAAATGATGTATTGTTTATTGTTTATTGTTTGTTGTTTGTAATGTTGTTATTGTTTTATTGTAAACATGTCAAGTACATTTATCATAGAAGATGTGAGAATACCCTTTACTATATAGTACAGGGACTTTGACCCAATTTTAGAGCAATTTTAAAAATTTGTAAAAAAAATCCAATTTTAATCGGAATCAGCTCAAACTTTCTATGCAACATATACATGTATGTACCAGGGAAAAAATGGAGAATTGCCAACTTTTTATTTTTGGCAAAATTCGGCTTGTGACCCTGCACTGTAATAGTACAGGGACTTTAGCCCAATTTTTGAGCAATTTTAAAATTATTATTATTTATTTTAATTATTAGACGTCACAGCAAAGTGAGAACATCAGTTCAGAAGATGATCAAGTGTTACTACTAGCACAACAGGTAGAGAGAGAAGGGGGGAGAGAGAGGGAGAGAAAGAGAGAGAGAGAGAGAGAGAGAGGGAGGGAGAGAGAGAGAGAGGGAGAGAGAAGGCAATACGTGATGTGCTGTAGCTTAAAATATGTGTCATTAATGTGCTGGAATTAATTATTCATGTACATGTACACATAATTTATAAAATAACAATTTCACGAAAACAATAATAACTGAAGGCATTTCAGCACACCTGGCTACAGTCTCACACTAGAAAAATTATTTTTGCTTAATATGTACATGTACATGACCAGATGTACTTGAACCTTAATTGCTCTAACCACAATTGTGCATTTGGTGTACAGGTAGTGTATGATATAATGGTTTAATTAATTGTAATTATTATAATTTATT